TTACAAGATATACTATTTTCAGAGCTTGTAAATTTTTTTTTTCCTTATTTCTTTACATTTCGAGATCGAGGTAATCAATTAGAGGTTTTCCCAAGTTGGAACAATTTTTTTCTATAGGTTTTTAGGATGCGCATTCTACAATGGAAAATAGATACCAAATATAAATTTTCATATTATAAAAATAACTAACATAATAAGGATCATATTTAAAATATTATCAAAGAGTTATAATGGTATAAGTGTAGATTACGTAATTATATATCAATAATAACGAAAGGATGTTTATTGTAATTTTATAATAACATATTCATCAATAAGGGCTACTTATTTTATCCATATTGATCATAATAACAATTCTTACTATTAATTTAATTTATTTTATGACTATTAAATAAACATAACTATCATTAAATTAATTATAATTAAATTCTATCCTCTCTATATTAGTCTACTGAAATTGTATGTTCACAAACAATTTACTCATATGGCTAAACAATTATCCACAATTCACTACCATAGTACAAAGAAAGAATCATAGTCATATTTTTTCATTCACTATTTTATTCCTTATAATATTTATGTGGATATAACATTAAGTATAGCCTCTTAGGGAGTGGATGACTAGGTGCACGTTAGGAGTAAAAGTGATTTTAATTTTTAAGCCCTGGTTTATAGTGCACTTGTTCAGCAACGTATGACTGTGAATCTCAGACTCGGTTATTGCTCAATTTTCTGATTTACAGGAAGCTTTACAAGAGATGCATCCACCTTCAGTTCAAGGGGATTGGTTCATGGTTAAATCAGCATATAATCTCTTGTTTCATGATAGGTTGATATAGAATTGGTTTTCTTTTAAAAAATTATGGTGCTGGAAAATCCATTATAAAGTTAAACTTTTCTTGTGGATTCTATTTTGGATGAGACGACACATGTAGAAATACGGGTTCCTTAACAAATCTATTTTTGAAATGGATTTTTGGACTTAATTTTGAAGGATATATAATATCTAACATGGATATCATGAATATGAATACATAAATAAATTTTAAAATTGGAAATAATAAATTTATTAAAAAAACATTTGGATCGTAGGTTTCAATTGTTTTTAGATGGACCATATATTTGCATCCATCTTTAAGATGGATGCTTTATATATCTGGACTGCATATGTAGAAATGTGATCCAGCCCGCACGAAACAATTTTCCTTTTTTTTCAAAGAAAAACTTTAACTGTTGATAAGTTGATGAAATGAGATATGTTGATAAGTTGATGAAATGAGATAGGATATTGACAAATGTATGTCTTATGCGCAAAGAGAGTGATGACTTTGGATAACATTTATTCCTTTATTGTTCCTATACTGCTGAAATTTGGAGATTTGGGATGGTTGTTTACCAAGATGGGGATTGAAATAACACTGCCAAATGATTATATGAATTATCAACCATCTATATATGGATGGTTTACGAAAGGTCGGATGTGTGATTTTGGAAATTAGTAGGGTAGCAGTGTTATGGAAAATTTGGTTGGAAAGAAATAAAAAAGCATTTGAAGGCAAGAGTTTGAGACTTAATTTTGATAGTAGCTCAATGAGCGGGCTTTGGAGGTATCCTTAGGGACTTTTCTGTAGCTACGGTCTTTTGTTATGCAGGAGCCAGTGGTGTCTTGAGAGCTATTGAAGCAGAAATGTAAGCTGTAGAACGACGGCTGGAGCTGATGGTCGAAAGAGGTGTGCTAGGTCCTTGTGTTATCGAAGGGAATTTCATTAAATGTTATTAATTGGGGCTCTTTTATTTCGCGACCTCCTTGGCAGTTGAGAAGGAAATGGATTGAGAATTCATGATCTTTGGTCTAGTTTGCAAATTTTTTTCCAACATGTTTATAGGGAGGCAAATTCGATTGCTGACGGCCTTATTAAAAGCGGTGTCAATCTTCAATTTGTTTTAGTTTCGGACGCGGTTTGTACGAGTCCAAATAGAAATGAGTCACCTCTTAAAACTCTATTTTTGAAATGGATTTTTTGACCTAATTTTTAAGGACAAATAACCTCTACATGGAGATCACGAATATGAAAAAATAAATAAAATTTGAAAATTAATCATAATAATTTTATTAAAAAAACATTTGGACTATTAGTATTAATTGTTTTTAGATGGACCGCAATTTGCACCCATCTTCAAGATGGAAGTTTTCTATTGAGGACGGCATGAAACAATTTTCCTTGAGTTTTTGATGTTCTTCTTTTTTTTAAAATGTTGTACACAATCCTTTGATCAATAAAAGAAGTAATATTCTAAAAAAGAGCAAAATTTAAGAAAAAAAAGGGTGAAAAATCGGACACAAGGTTTTGGTCCACCGCCCTTTGCTTTGTCGAAGGGCAGGTTTGCTATTAATGAATATTTAAGGTTCATTTATAAAATGACACTAACGAGGTCCCACAGCATATAAACTCCTATTCTCAATCGTTCCTTTCTCACTAAACCCTCTCTCCCTATCTCCCTCCACTCTTACCTGGGGTTTTAGGAGAGCATCCCGGTGCCCCAACAATGGTAGCGATGATACTAGGGCGAACCCTAATTTTCAGGCCAGCGGCCATGAGTTTCTCTGCTTCTCCTTTACCTGGTTTCTTCAGGGCCTTTTGGTCATCTTCACTTTCTGCTTCTGCTACGAAAAGCCATGGCTCCAGCATTATCTCGTTTCTTCGACCTCTCTCAGTTGCTGTACCAGCGATCAATGGCCACTTGGTTTCTTCTTCTGGTCTTCGTTGCTTTGCTACAAGGCCTACTACCTCTTCTCTGAATGACCCGTCCCCCAACTGGAGCAATAGGCCGCCAAAGGAGACCATTTTGCTTGATGGGTGTGACTTTGAGCACTGGCTTGTGGTCATGGAGCCGCCTGAAGGGGAGCCAACAAGGGATGATATTATTGATAGCTATATCAAGACTCTTGCTCAGGTGGTTGGAAGGTAAGGGCTTGTTTCTATCTCTGTCTTATTCCTCTTTTTTCTTTTCTTTTATTTTCTCTTTGGTAACTGGCTAGTCTTTTGATTCTCTCTTATCTTTTATATTTGTTTTTGGGTTGAAATAGGATTTTGACCCTTTCTTTTAAGAAGGAACGGTGGATTCTTTGTTCTGTCTTATCTTAATATGTATACAGTCAATTCACCACTTTTCTTGTCTATATTTTCTCCATTGTGCTTGAAATTTTGGAATGACCTAACTTTTTGGGTAATAATGGCGTTTGCTTTCTTGATTTGCTTTAGTAGGAGTGTTTTACCCTGTTTGTGATGGATTACGTAAAGTAATGTACTTTTTTACATGTTGGATGTCCCATATATCGTGAGGAGTAGATCGATGTTTCATGCAGTGCCCATAACATGTAGAATTGAAACTGGTCCAATTCTATCAAAATGTAAGCAAGATTTATGGCTGTTGTAATTTGATAGGATTTGTTATGTGTTAGGAAGCATATGGCAGAAGTTCGTTCTCAATTTTCAATTTTGATTACTCTGCTCTGATCTTAAGGAACTTCTAATGATTTTTTTAGCCAAATAGGAGATAGAAGTCTGTTATGTAAATCATATAAGACCGGTGTTTCTAACTTATGAAACATGAAATTTTTGATGTCCGTTTATAGAAAAATTCTATGTGATCTGGAGGATTTAGTTGCTACATTAGGGCTGTTGGAAGGGATATAATGGACTCTGGCATGAAAAACTGATGTAAGATTCATAAAAGGAACAAAATGTGAGAAAGGTTGGATAGTACATATATTTTCGTGAAATATCTATACATGTTTGGAATGTTCTAAAACTATGAGGATGCTATGGTTTTCAAAGGATTTCTTATTTCCTATTTATTTATTTAGGTCCAAATGTGCTCTGTATTTCTTTTTCTATTTGGAAGTTTCACATCAAATCTGGAGGCGACAAATGTTGTCAGAAATTTTCTCTTTTTCCGTCTGAAGCTTTTGAAAAAAATTGTTTTCCCGAACGCCCTTCTAGGGCAAGGGGTATATAGTTTGAGAATATTATTGAGAAAAGGAAAACTGTTCTTATCTTAAAACCTTGTCTTGGTATATTGCAACTTTGACTATTGGAGTACCTCATTTGAGGGATTTATTGGGGCGTAGATGTCCTCATTTCTTTCCTCCTTTTTTTTTTCCATGGAAATTGGGCAAAAATCCAGTTGATATCAGACATAAAAATTGTCAGCAATCATACCTCAAAAAATTTGTTAGCAACCAAATAGAAAATTTGTTCAATGGAATTCTTAAGAAAAAATTGTGTAAGGGCAGCTTATGGCTGAACAAATCTAGAATACTTCCCAAAGATGCAGCTTCTAAATTGTAAATGCCTCCTATAGTCTATACTGGGATATGGGCATTCTTTTGTTCATTGATACATAATCACATATAGCCAAACCCAAATAGTTGGGAAAAGGCTTTGGTGATGATGATACATAATCACTTAAGATATCATTAAGACTTTATTTACCACTTGTTGAAAGAGGTTTTCACATGTTTTTGTTCTTTGATAGATAACTGCAGAAGAATGTTTATTGAAGGAAAAGGTTTATATAAGGTTGCAACCTTAAAATGTAGAATCACAGATTCGCCCCAAAAATCATTAGAAAAGGTTGTTTTAATGTTGAAAAGCCCTCTAATTGATCATCTCGACATCAAGATTTATGAATGTGAAAAAAAAAGATTTTGAGTCCCAGAAATAGTGCATCTTGCAACACATTATCTTAACCATCCATTTTCAAGATTTTCATATGTTTATAGATATACTTGATTTTAACCATTTTTGAAGTTTAAAATTTTATAACTAGATCAAAAAATAGATTTTTAGATAATCCTAAGAAATTTTACACCAAAATTATATGTTGTGATAAAATTCGAAGGTGCACCTTAATTGGATTGTTTAAGGTTGCAACCTTATAGAAACCACACCTTTATTGAATGCTAGTGATGCAAATATCTTAAAATGTGCTCTTGTAATTCACATATCAAGATGTTTTAATTGGCAACATCTAATTAGCAACATCTTGCTAAGAGTACCAAACGTTAATAGTTAATGCTTGATTAATGTCAGTAGTGCATCATTTATAATATATGGTATTCCGAGGTTAACTTGATGTCTTCTACTCATACAAATACAACATCTGACTAACTTGGACATGGCTTGGGATGGGGCTGAGTCTCAAGTCGAGTCAATCTGCCAAGTCTTGAGTTTCCTCTTCAAGTTTTTATCTTATAAAACTTAGATATTATCCAGAATATTTAGTCTCTTTTAGTTTTATCAAAAAAAATATATTTAGTCTCTTTTATGAGACTCAAATATTAGTTGGATAGATGAGGATAAGAGTTAGATCGGATTCAGGCTTGACCCGTGACGGCCCCTTATTTGGTGGGTTTTATAAGGACTTCAAAAGTTTATTGAAAACTGCATAAGAATGAGTTGAGAAAAGCATAATTGTAAAATACTATGCGCAAAATAGTCAATATATATAGATATATTAATTTATTTATGATCAAGGTTCAAATTATTGTGAACCATGTTGGTATATTTGCTGATATATTGACTGCGGATCTCTCCACACCATGATATGATGGCTACTGTGAGTATTTGGTCAATATCAGTGCGAGTATTTGGTCAATATCAGTGTATATATTCATATATTGTGACGTTTTAAAAGTTATATGGGATGATATTAGGCTGATACTAATGACATAAAGTCTATTATACCTGGATTCAAAATATTTAAAAAGGAAAAACATTTTATGTCCATTATGAATCCTTTCAAAGGTCCTTACATCCTGCTTAAGATCAGTTTTGAACCTAGTAATCTCTTCCCTTGATAGACCTTTTGTACAAGACAAACAAATTCGCAACTGTGTACTCATTGCAAGCGAGAACATCAGCATGAGATTCTAGTCCAAAAGACTCAATGTTGTTTACAGACAAGACTTTGAAAAGGCCTACAATCACGTTGATTGGACCTTCTTTGACCATATTTTCTCCTTGATGGGATTTGGCAGAAAGTGGAGGGTTGGATAGTTAGGTGTCTATCATTGATCCATTTTCAGTTATGAGCAATGGATCCCCTATGGATTCTTATAATTTTTGCATGGATTGCGACAAGGTTACCTCTCATCTCCTTTACTATTGACCATCATCATGGACTTCTTTAGCTATTCCATCTCCAGTGTTTACTCCCGTGGTATTTTCAGCGGTTTCTCTAGCTCTTTGTATAGGCCCACCATCTTTCACCTTCAATGTGCGGATTACACCCTTGTCTTCTATGATGCCACCCTCAACATATTGGCAGTCTTTGGTTATTCTTGAGATATCTTGAATTGGCTTCGGGGTTGTGGGTCAACATGACCAACATCATGCTTCTTAGCTTATACACAATTCGAGCTCTAGCACTTAGAATGGGATAAGAAACCGCTACCCTTCCCATTAAGTACCTAGGCCTACCATTGTGCATAGTTAGACTAAAGAAACCTCAACATAACAATATTTTTAAAAATTTTGAGAGGCGTTTGGCCTCTTGGAAGGGTCGATACCTGTCGACAGGTGTCCATATCACTCTAATGAAGGCAGCCCTATCCAATATCCCGGTATTCCAGGTGTTGTTATTTTGGGTGCTGGCCAGTGTTGTACCCACATTGGAGTGCATGATAAGAGACTTCCTTTGGCGTTGCCGGTGGCTCCCATAAATTCCAACTAATCAAAGTAACAATTTGCAAGCTAAAATAGTTGGAGGTTTGGGGATCTGAAAACTATAAGCATCTAACACTGCCCCCTTTGGGAAGTTGTGGTGGCACTTAGCCTCCCTCCTTGACCACTTCTAATGATTTGTAGTTAGTCATGGCTGTGGCACTCGGACTCTGACTTGCTTCCTAAAGGACCGTGCTCTTCAAGAGCCTTTTATCCTGGCCTCTAGCAAAGAGGACACCCGTTGACTCATTCGTCAAACACTTGGGTGGTCAGCTGGCGTGCTCCCTGTCTCAATTCTATCCCAATGTCGTCAAGATTGATGATCTCATGTCCCTGATCGAGTTGCACACGCCTGTTTCCTTCCACAATATGGTTGTGACAAGATTATTTGATCCCCTAGCCCTAGAGGGACTTTCTTGGTCTCCTTGTTCCACCATGTTCTTACCCATGAATATCAAGACCAGTCACTATGTATTGGGCCTGCTTCTTTCTCCCTGCTTCTTCATCAGGTTCATGTGTTTAATTGGTTGGCCATCTCGAACAAAGCACTCTCTTCTCAAAACTAGGAGAGTCCAACTGGCTCATTGATGTACTATGTGTAAGGCCAAAAGAGGAGTCCATTGCACATTTCTGTGTTCATTGCACACCCAGTGTCTAGTTTGGTCCTTCTTAATTCAATTATTTGACTCTGTGGGTCACTCCAACAGTTGAAAGCCTATTCAAGGTAGCGTCTGGTTGCTCTACCAGCCCTCAGCCTTATACTTTGGCAGCTGACCATACTAGACATCATTTGGGTTATATGGTTGGAGGATGATCACTAAATTTATATGGGGAACCGATCCTGAACCATTACCCTCACTAGGTGCATCAGGTAAACCATTATTTTGTGCCTCCCCTTGGCCTCATAAAGAATTAAGATCCTACTCAGCTATAGATTTCTCTATCCAATGTCCGCAAATCATTCAATCCGTCCCCTGTACTCAAGATCCTCATTGTTGCTGCCACCTGAACTAGGAGTCATCAAGCTAAACTTCTATGCAGTTCCATTGAGAACCCTGGTCCTCCTTTTGACATACATGGCCCGAGACAAATTCGGAAGCCGATAGCTGTGCAATGGACGGAGCATACTAGGAACCAGACCCAGGACCTTTGGCACCTTTTTGATCTTTGGCCCTTGGGGAATTTTCCTCTTCTATTCTCTATGAAGGGTGCACAATATCTTTTATATGTATAAAATG